TTTGCAAATTTGACAAATAAATAACCTTAGATATGTAAGAGTTTAATATATGAAAAATCTCACACATTCATCAGAGTCCAGTCCCTGAGTCCAGTACACATGCCCCATTCGCATTTAGGGTATTCCTCAATTCAGTGGCAAAGTGAATTTTGAGCGCGGTCGTCGACTCGCTCGGGCAGTAAATAAGTTTTTTTTTTTTTCTCTTTTTTTTTTTTGCTGTGTAGATTTGCTTTGCATTTTAGCCGAGCTGCGAGTTTATTATGTAATTTGAAATTTGTTGCATAAGTAATTTGTAGAAGGCCACAGGAATGCGTGTTTAAGTGTTGTTCTCTTGTTCTTTTTTCACATTTATGCATATGTATGTGTGTGTGTGTGTGGCCAGCACTTGGAAAGTTCATAACTCGGTGTGCCAGTCCGTCAGCTAGTATTAGGTTGCCCCCAATCAATTATTTACACAAAAACATTAGCATCCCCTCTCTCACTTGCTCTTTCTCTGTCTCTGTCTCGGTCTCTCTCTGAATTTAGATTAAACAATGCGAATGTGAATGCGACTTGTGCATTATTAAATTTCTCATATTTTTGCATAATTTTTGGGCTTTCATGATGCAATTGCAAAATGAGGTCACTATATAATTGTTGTTTAGCTTAATTATTATAATTATTGTTATTAAGTGCCAAAAATGAGTTTAATTTTTACCCCCACGATGATGTATTACTTCGTTATTCTTACTCCATACCTTATTCTGCAGTGGAAAGGAGAGAAAGAGAGATAGTGAGAGAGAGTTAGGTATATATGCGACTATATATTATATTATATATTATAATATCTAGTGCGTTCTTTGATTTCTCTTTGGCCAATTGCTCAACACCTCAGAAGAGCTATACGAACTAGAGCTAGTTAATCTATAATGTAAAAACTCTTCAACTATAACTGCTTCAATTCCTGCTCGCACTCTTCACACACACTCTTGCCTATGCCATATCCCTGTATCCGATTTCCACAGCCTCCCTCTGGGCCCCCTCTAGATCTGCCTGTCTCATTTCCATGTTGCAAACTCTGTAAATGCTGAGCCATTCCGGAGGCAACGTTTCAATTATTTGCTGCTGCCCAATGCAGTTGTCTCGTTGCCATTTTATTATCGATTAGAGGCTCGAGGAGCTCCTGGATGCACACATTGACAGATCCATACACATGCATAGCCTGAGCCATTGTGTGGCCCCAACCTAACTTTGTTAATTGCACGAGCAAGTGTTTACTGGTCAACGGGAGTTTGGGTGGTTGGGTGGTGGGGTGGTGGAATGGTTGGCTAGAGCTCAAATGTCATTTGATATGCAATCGACATTAGTTCGCTCGCTTAGCAAATGGGCAGCACTTAAACGACCCGAGTCCAAGGAGCAGAGACCTCTGCTTGGCCAATTTAATGGGCTGAGGGGCGAAAGGTTCAGGTTAAGAAAGTCAGCACAGATATCTGCATAAATGCGCTTATACAAAGACTGAAGGGTGTGTGTACGTGTGCGTGTGTGTGTGAATGCAGGAAATGCAAGCATGAATAATATAGAAGCAACACACACACACACTCACACACTTACACACTCTCACAAGTAGCGACAGTAACAAAAGAGCTGAAAATTAAAAAGAGACAAGCAATTAAAATGGCTTACAACGCTGCGCTGACTACAACAACAACAACAATAAGCATAACAACAGCTGTCTGTGTAATTGTTGTTGGATGGCTTTACCGCTGCTTCTGCTGCAACGGCAACGGCAACGGCTGCTGCTGTTGCTGCTGGGGGCCACCATAATTGCTGACAGGATGCGAGGCACGCGACCACTTCCGCTTGGGAGACACCGCCACCTGGCCCACAGCCACGCCCTGCACCACCAACCAATCAGTACGTGGGGCGACTGCTTTCATAACGTTGGCACATTTTACGTGCGAAAGTAAATGGCAAAGCCGAGTGCAACAGAAATTAAGTGCAGTGCAAACAATAAAAGCTCAAAGCCCCAACTTCGGCTCCACCCCAGCTTCAGCTCCGGCTCCTGTCTGGTCACGATTGCCGTTGCCGTTGCCGTGGCATAAGTTGTCCTGGTTGTCCTTGTTGTCCGCGCTGTTATTGCCAGTTGTCTATGACTGTGGGCATGGTCAGCCAGCGGCAGTTGCAGTTGCTGTTGCGACAGCTTTGCATATTGCGCATACGCAGCGTAAGCACGAGCACCGCAACATCAAGCCATCAAGTGTTACTTCCGGTCTTAAGCGACTGATGAGCCTGACCAGCAACAGCCACAACAACAGCAACAGCAACCAGAAATAGCAAAGGGTGCGGACTGCTTAATACTCTGTCATGCCAGAGGAACATTCCATCTGGATAGACCAGCTCTACCTTCAACTGCTGACTCTGGCCTCAGCTATGTAAAGCTGTTTAAAATAGATATATAAATATTAGTATACATAACAACTGCACATTGATCAATACATCTCCTCATCTACCTGCATATCTTGAGTATATCTCTGACATATTTTAAGTCATATTCCATACTTCCTTCCTGCTTTCTTATTGCTGTCACTGATATACCCCTTTGGAACTGCAAGCAGTGGTATAATACAAGCAACTTCAACAATTACATATTACAATTGCATGTACATAAGTAGCAACACGACAGCAAAATGTCGAGCAACGACAAGTTGGTTGACATTTTTGCGTAAAAGTTGTGAAAAGGGCGAATTTTGAATGCCCTACACAGTAAAGGATGTTGACTGAAGATGGAAAAAAGGAGAAATTGTTAAGAGCTGAAAGACTTTAAAAATAACCAAAAAGTAGACAAAGAAGTGGAAAGAGATGATGATGTAGTATAAATATTGAGTATGACGAGCACGAAGAAATCAAAATATAAGTACAGTAGAATCCGGTTATAACGACACTCAAGGGACCGTCGGTATACCCGGAAGGCGCTATAACCGTATAAGTTTGCCCATAAAAGTTTGTCTGGGACCAGAATTTTCGTCGCTATAAGCCGTGCCGTTATAACCGGATTCTACTGTATAAGAATACGTTCTAGGAAATATGAACTAGACAAGCAATCGGTGAGGGACAAAAACTGAGAAGAGTAAATCAATCACCTAAACTTACTAATTTATATACAATTTATATATATTTATATTAGTAAATCTTGCCTCTTCACAAAGTCATCAAAGGCCATGCCAGAGTAGTTAAGCCCATCCAAGATAGTTCACATAATGCACGCTGTAGCCATAATGAAATGCAGCAGATATGAACGTTGACTGAAATCCGAATGTTAATTTGAGAGTAAATGCGACTGGGGCAATTCGTGGTGTCCCGTTTTTTATGGCAGTTGCAATCATAATAATGGGCCGCAATTCCGAGAAAATGCAAGCCGGAAGGACGTCTCATCAAAGAGCTGTTCGTACTTATAGGAAAGAAGAGCCTCAATCCGTTTGCTAATGGATATGCTCAAACTTATTAATGGTTATGCTCGTGATCCTTGAGAACAACAAGCAAGAGCATTGCAGGCGGGCGTAACTGACTGCCTAATAATGGCTCAAGCTACTCGATTTCCCATGCCTCATAGCTTTCTCTCTGAAGGCAACTCAATTAGACGTTGGCTATAAAGTCTAGACAGCTTATCAGACATGGTTACGCGCGAGTATAAAGTCCGCAGCTGGACATCAAGTTGAGTACTACACAAAACCTATATACTCCTTCCTACTCGGCTCGTAAACGAGCATAAAAAGAAAAAGCCGCCTGCGACAGGTGAAGGTCAGCGTAGCTGCTGAAAGCTTAAGTGTTTGACACGCGGCTCGAGCGACGTTGAGAGCAAGCTAAAGGACATTTTTGCCAGGCAACATTCTTGTCTCTCATGCCCTGCACTCTATTGAAAATGAATAAACGGGGCATATTGGCTTGGCAGACAATAAAATATTTTTGGTAAGACTGTTGAGCCGAACTAGCACAGTCTGACTGACTGTCCATGACCTTCTACATCCACTTGATCTCGGTAGAACAAGAGATCCACAGATGTTCTACATCCATATCAAACTTAGATTCAGGGTATCTCTCAGTCGGGCGCATTCGATTAGGACTCGGCATCCTTGGGGAGAGCACGACACAACGTGCCTGAGACACAGTCCACTTTGATTGCCGGCTCCAATTAGCGTAATATTCGCAATATGCTTTTGCCAGAAGGTTTTTGTTTTTGTTATTTTTTTTTTTTTTTTTATTATCATCTGCTGAGTTTTTCGTCCTTCGTCCTGTGCCCTTCCAGAATATTGGCTGCAGTAAAGTTCAAGCAGCAGCTGCTTTTAATTGCGCGCCAAGTTTTAAAATGGCCTCAGCTCCGGCTTTAATTGAGATTCTTTTATGTGTCGAACGGCAAAAACAACGAAATGCGCTCGCTGATAAGCCGTTTAGTCATCTAACTTCGGGCTGATAGCCGTACCCGTATATGAGGGGTATACTTGGCATGATTGCCCGATTCGTCACCTAAAAATGGTAGCCAACATGGCTGACAAGTTCATTCACGAACTTCATAGCAGATAACTGCCCTGCACACGGTTCGTGCGAGCCTCTTCAAAAGATTAACAACAGTTACTTGACTTCTATATATAGATAGCATAGAGCTTTAGGGAAAATGGGGCTACATGTGCCACACTATCAGCAATGCATTAGGCAAGGCCTCAACAGCTTAAATTCCAGATTAAGCGGGCAGAAGTAACGCGTATATGATATCTAGAACCTACAGGGTAGATGGACAATAAGAATCCGTCTGTGGATCTAGTGAGGAAGATATAGCATTTCGAAAATCTCACACTCCAGGCAATCAATCAGTGATTGAAGAAGTTTTAACAGCATCAGTGAAAAGGATTTCTACCATTCGCTTCATCATTAAAAATATATAAACACGTTTTATAAAATGGTGATATATGTTTTTTAAAAATATAGCTCAAATGAGAACATGATCAGCCTCGACATTCACAATTTTGTTCCTCCCTTTTAACAAATCTTAAGACTTTAATTTTGTAGACAATTCATACAGCAACAGGCGACAAGTACTTGGTACACTTATAAACTTATGAACTAAACCCGACCTAAATCTCTATATACAGCACATTCGAGCAGCCACACGTGTTCTATTCCTCATCCTTGATGCAATTCTCGACTAGTTCACGTAGATTGGGATTCTCCATGGCAGCTGCAATGCGTTCCTTGTCATTGATTTGCTTATTAACTGAAAGAGTTAATCGATATATAAATCAGATTATCGTTTCATGTTCTTTAACAAATCTTACTCTCTTCCTCGGTTTGATGTGCGCCCTTCTTGATATAAATATCCAGCTTTATATTATGCGGCAGTCCACGCTCCACCTTGACGCGTATGCAGAGGCCAATCAGCGTAGCCAGCGAGCAGTGCGGCACAGTCGGGTTAAATTCAATGCGAACCTTAAAAATGATTTTTTAAAATTGTATTTTAGGACTGATTTACAGTTGTAGAGTCGTACAGTAGTAGTCCAGTAGTACATAAGTCCAGTACCATAGTAGTACAGTACAATAGTACAACAATATTACGGTAGTTAAAAGTCAAAAAGACCATATGTTCAGATATCGAGTAATCCAGTAGCACAGTAACGTCGTATTACAGTAGTGCAGTAGCACAGTTTATACAGTCCATAGCTAAGCTTACCACTGAGACATTTGAGCGGGTTGGCTGCATCACAAAGATCCCATCCTCATAGATAACATTCAAATCCTCCAGTGTGCAGGGCTTCTCCGGATCGCGTATGGTGCGCAGCAGATCTGTAAGCATAAAACAACATATGCTAATTATATAATTATTATCAATGAATCTGCAATGCTCTCGTTACCATAGATAGTCTCTTGCAGATCTGTGGCGCTGCGATAGCCCAGCTCATGTAGTAAGGCATCCTCTCCATAGACAATTGCACCATTGTCCAATGACATTTGACTTGTTTTCCGGACGAGCTCCGCGGCTGGTGTGGGATTGCTGTTGCTACTGCTGTTGCCGCTGTCCGATTCAGAGAGTTTGCGCTTAATGTAAGACAACATATTTAGCGTTTTGCTATGTGCTCTAATTATTCCCCTGTATGAGTGTGTGTGTGTGCTTGTATAGGTGTTTARTTGTATGGGTATTTGTTGTTTGGCACGTTTGATTGGGTTGCTCTTATCTCGTCCGTGTTTTTATCTTTTACGCGTTGCTACGAAGAGAGTGATTTGGTTTCTCTGTGAACTTCTATTGTTCTTCTTGTTGGCGATGTGCTGTAATCATTTAATATCCACCATAATATTGTTCTTGCAATTATGGTGTATTCTATTTAACTTTATGTGCTGTTTAAACAAATAATATTTACAATGCAATCACACTGGACTAATATTTTATAAGACAGCTGATTTTTGTTTTGGTATCAGCAGGGCTGCATCACAAGTACACAAGTACAAGGTAAGCCTCTGCGCACTGCGCAGGTCTGTTAACACTCCAAGTGCTTGCAAATGTGTGGCGTGACGTCATGCGCATGTACGCGCATATTTTGAACTGATAAATGCGAGAAACTCCTGTAATGTTAAATTATCGCTGCCATGGGCATATGAGCTCTGTTATTTACAGCCGCTATGCAGCCCTGGTTTCTGTTAGTCTGTGACGTCAACGCGGTCTGCGCAATGGAATTTGTAACAGCTTTATTTGCAATTAGCACAAAAATGCATGAAGCATGGCAAATTTTTAGCACGGTGTTTTCTTTTCGTTCTGTTTCAATTGCCGACAACTTGCAACTGTAATACATTTGGCAACACTGCAGCTTATCTCTGTTTTGCGCTCTCCCGTTCCCGTTGCCGTTCCCGTTCTTGTGCGTTTTCGGCTTAAAGCAGTTGCATATGTAAGAAGTGCGCCGACTTATTTTACATGCCAACAAATTGTAATTAAAAAGTGTGATAAAGACAAATAAATAATATTTATAATCAGTGTAAGTGTAAAATAAATAAGAATCAGACATAATTAGAAAATCTTTTAAGTAAATTGCTGCACGGTGGGCAGCAGTTAAAAAATGCCGTATTTTAGCTGTGACACCCATTGTACTTAGCTAAAAAAGTGATTTGTAGTAGGCTTTGAAATCGAAATTTTCGGCACATGCCTAGCTCAGATTTGATTTCTATTCATTTCGTTTTTGTTAGTCTTACGAATTGTTTCTTATTTGTGAAAGCTCGTCGAACGGAAGCAAATCTCGCTTTTTTACCCTTTTGAAAAATAAAGGAAAAAGTTCGTAAAAAGCGAAAAAGCCCATCGAATTAAGCCCGAACGTTAGTGGGAAAGGTAAGCGAGTAATTTTTTTCTTTTTTTTTTTTTTTTTAATTCAAATGTATATGTATGTATATACATACATATGTGTATGTATGTGTGTGTGTGCGAGAATGAGAATTGAATTGAAAGGTGATAAATACAAAATTGAGAGGCGAAAAAAAAATGGCGAAGCGAAAAACAGTCCTGGAAATATGCCGTTATGTTTTCTTGCTTGTTTGACAGTTCTGCACAAAGTTCAGTTCGCGATTCGTCTTCAATCTGTGTGCATCGTTACTGTTGCCGCTGCCAAAGTAAATTTTAAATTTTTTCTTGAGGTATTTTAATTGGTATTTTTTTCTCTTTTTGGCAGTTCATATACCAAAATGGTTGCCATTAGCATTGATTCAGTGATTGATATCTCTGCCGCGGATCAGTCCTCGGCTACGTCGACGGGTGTTGCTATTAAGGATGAGCTACCAAATGGTGACTACATTTTGGTTGCCGTTGACATCGATACAACAGGACGCCGTCTCATCGACGAGGTAAGCGAGGTCAATGAACTCGTTGGCAATCGAATTTAACCTCACACTCTTTTGCACTACTGGCAAATGGCAGATCGTCCAATTGGCAGCTTATACTCCTACCGATCATTTTGAGCAATACATTATGCCGTATATGAATCTAAATCCTGCTGCCCGTCAGCGTCATCAAGTTCGCGTTATTTCGATTGGATTTTTTCGTATGCTGAAGTCGATGCAGACCTACAAGGTACCAAGTAGTATAGCTTAATCCAGTATTCCAATTAGATGTCTATTTTTTTATATATATAATATTTATAATATTTTTGTGTGCTCTCTTCCCAGATCATCAAATCTAAATCAGAGGTCGCTGCGCTAAAAGACTTCCTTGACTGGCTGGATCAGTTAAAATCGAAAAATCCAAATGCGGATGGCATTGTCTTGCTTTACCATGAGGAGCGCAAATTTATTCCATACATGATTTTGCAATCGCTGGTCAAGTACGGCATGCTCGATAGATTCACCAAGACAGTCAAGTCTTTTGTAAACAGCTTCAATCTGGCCAAGTCCACAGTCGGCGATACCAAACACTATAGCCTACGCAATCTGTCGAAGATATTGAGCAAGGCCAAGGAGGAGACCGCCAAGGGCAATGGCAACGATAATGAAGCTGACAGTAACAGTAGCAGCGCTGATAAGCATGTAAAGAATGGACTCCAACAAAAGGAGCGAGATGAGTTCGATGGCAGTGCCAGCGTCCGTGCCAAGCTAACCTTCAATGTAGCTTTGCAGCTAAGCAATTTGGACGTTAGCAGCAACACCGCTGAGCCAGATTCATCAGCGGAGGCCTTGAGCAATCTGTTTAATGCTCTCAAGCCCTTCACTGAGGCAATCAGCGGTGATGTCAAGGAGCTGGACACACAGAATGTTCATTTAGAGCGACAAAATTCGTTTCGTCCCGTCTTCTTGAACTATTTCAAGACCACGCTCTATCATCGTGTACGTGCCGTCAAATTTCGTATTGTACTGGCCGAGAATGGCTTCGATCTAACCACGCTTAATGATATTTGGACTGAGAAGCGTACCGAGGGGCTAGATGCTGCCCTGCAAGGCATTGCCAGCCTCAAGACCGAAGATAAAAACGAGCTTGTTGAGCTGCTCGATAGCTTCTTTGATCCCAATAAGGTGACCATCAAACCGATCATTAAGCCAAGCACCATTCGTCGTCGCAATAAGCGTAACGCGCCCTCTCACAAGTCCGGCGGCGGTGGAAATGGATCGCGTTCGGCCAGCGATGAATTTGGTGCCGGCGGGGATAAGTCGCAAAGTTTATCATCTGTACCAGATTCAACCACCAAAACACCGTCGCCTATCAAGAACAGCGGGCGTCCACAGCGCAAACGCAATTCGCGTCCCAGTCTCAACACCAAGGAGGTGAAAAATGCCGAGTCACTGAACAATACTGCTCCGGCTAGCATCTCCATGCCCAACTACGTACCCATTGCGGCCATCAACTAAAAGGGGCGCGGCGCTACCAAGTAAATTATTGTTTACTAACTTTTACACAGCATTTGTTATACGCTTTTTTAAGAAACGTAATGCTTTTTGTAGCTAATGTATATAGAGTATATATATAGATGTTATTTAGCGCTATACTGAAAGTAATATGAAATATGTAAAAACAGGTAAACTGCGCGCTGAATAGCTTAATGTTATATAATTTGTTGATTTAGATTTTAGAATGCTTTTTACACATACGCACACCAACTGAAGAGTCATAATGAATGGTTGAAGCTCTTCAGATTTTGTCACAACAAAACAAATATTTAGATATGCTAATGTAGCTAAACTTGTATATATATTTATAATGTTATATAGTATGATAGTGAAGCGCACTTTGAATGTTAATTAATTTTACAATTTGTTTTTAGCCATTGTAGTAAATTATATAACATAAATTTTAACTTATTTCCCAGACACAAACAGAACCAAATATGATGATAAAATGAAAATCACAAAAAATTTGTCACAAAGGCATCAAGCAACTCTTAGAACAAAAAATAGTAAAAAATTTAGAAAAAGAAGAATAATGAAGAAGATGAAGAAATTATGGAAAATAATAATAATACAACAAGCGAAGCGAACTGTTTTCCTTTTTGAAGAACGGCACAGATTAGAAACAAATTGCAATCCCAAAATTCAAGTGTAAGAAGTTAAAATTTCAAGTAATATAATTTTTTTTTTTTTTTGCGCAACATGTACACGTGGCTATCCCAATGATAATACTCGAGAATATATGTGAAAGGACATGTTAGTGGATATGGATAATATGAATATGGAATATATATATATGTATAATTGATGTGGTCTTGGATGTCGTTGCCCTAATTGAAGAAGACTCACAAACAATAATGTGGATGGAATACGATATTTAGATCTATATATATATATACATAATAATGAGATGATATATATACATATATGTATTTATCAACACATATATGTATGTATATATAAATATGTTTATATATATATATAAGAATATGGTGCAAGTTGACCCGAACTCTGGAATTTCGTGCTTGGGCTACTGCTGAAACACACATCTAACCCAACACACACGCCTCAAATTAATCGGAAGAAAAACATGAAGAAATAGATCCGACTTTAAAAATGGTGTATAGAAGAGATCAAGCATTATATATGTATAAATGTATATACATAATTGAATATGCTATCATCAAATATCGTTGCGTTCCAGGCATAATTTTCCAAAATACCAACAGAAGAAACACAAATGAATTGGAAAAATATGGGCTCAGAAACGCTTCGATTTTAAAACAACATTGGGTAAACCTAAACAATAAACACTGATTGATATATAAAGGAAAATTTATATATGTAATATATATATCAGGTTACCCAATGTTCAAAAAATCTCATAACGAAGCTTAATGTACACACAGATACACAGGAAATGAAGAATTGCAACAATCAAATTTTAATACGTTTTCCACGAGAGAAGTTCTTAGCGATCGGACAACTAGTTGCTATTACTACAATGACAATGTCACACAAACAACACCATTATATACCAAGTCTGTAATTCACACAACATTAAGAGCTCAAACTTATTTCGCATATAAATTTTAAGGAGAGGAGAAACTATAGCTGATATGAAGAAGAAAAGAAACTGTAAGCACACCTATATATACACATWCGCAGGCAGGCACATAAAATATATGTATATGTATATGTTTTATTTCAAGCTGTATTTCACACAATTGTTTCATGTTTGCACATAAGTTTTATTTTGAATAACAATACAAATAAATGGAAATCAAGAATAAGTAACGTATTTTAATTATAGTGGTTATGGTTATGGTCACACTGATGGCTGAAAGAGGGGCACTGTAGGCGTTATGGCCCAACAATATAATAAAGAGATCATGAAAAATCGACACGCTGTAATTAATAACGTTTGTAATCACTGTTAAAAGACGCAGTCACACTATTAGCACCGCTATCACTCAATCGTAGTTTTTAATATGGTTTACATATAATTTGGC